AGCTCCGCGCGGTCCTAACGCGCTCCGTGTCCGGCTCCCTCTCCCCGGCTGGTGCGCCCCGCGGTCCTGCGGGACTCCTGACTCGTGTCCCGGGCTACGGGCGGGGGCTGGCGCACTGATGGCCGCGTTTGGGAATCAGGTTTCTTGGCCCAAGTTGAGCCCCTTCGGTTCTCTTTGTGTGTGCGGGTCCGGGGGGCTGACGGCCGCCGCCCCGCTGCTCCGTGGTTTTCGGTGTGGGAACCGCTGGAGGCGCGCGCCGCGGCGGGTGACTTGGTGGCGGGGACCGAGGACGGGCTGGAGGTCGGACCCTGATCTCCCCCGTCCCATCCTGGACCTTCCTCCCTCCTTCGGAAGCGCACAGCCGGGGCTCGGGGAGTCACTGGGCTCCGCGGTGCCCGGGAGGTGGGTCGGGCTCCGGCCCCGCAAGGCCGAGCCGCAGGGGAAGGGGTTGGGGGACAAAGGCCGGCGGAGGCGGGCGCAGGGGCGGCGAGCTATTGTTAACCGCTACCCCGGAGCCCAGCCCGCGGCCCGCTTCCAGCTCCCGGGGTGGGCCGGCCTGTCGGCGCCGGGAGGCGGGCAGGGCAGGGCCAGGGCCCACCTCATTGTGTGAACTGCCCCAGCCCGGCCGTGGCCGGACCCCCGTGAACCCCGGTGCAGCACGCCTGGGCCTGGCGTAGGGCGACTGTGGGTGTGCCAGCGCGGCTCCTCCACCCCCGAGCTGTTTATTATTGTTATTTTAATGCGGTCACCTGTAGGGCAGGACGTTTGCTGCGCACAGTCAGGTCGTTAGAGCTCCAGGAGCAGCCGCGGGCAGAGCGAGGATGCGGGGAGGGAGGTGGGGACCGCGGACAAGGACTGCTGGTACCGCGGCTGAATAAAGACCATAAAACAACAACAAAAAGCTAGACCTCGTCACTCCCCACCCCCAATCCTGGAGGTTGGAGAAAGGTGTCGCCAAGGAAGTGACATCTCTACTGCTTAGATTCGCTTGGCACTGCCGACCGGGTTGGTAGGGGCGGTGTGGGCGGGAGGGCCGGCAGCGGAGGCCCCGGCCCGGGTCGAGAGCAGGGGC